CTAAGGTCTCAGACAGATGTATCCCTTCTCAGCTGTCCAAGATCCTTAAGATGCTAGAGATTGAGCTTTCTGCATGCTAATGTGTTTGCTCTTTTGCTGAGCTGGGACCCACACAACCTAGGAAGATGCTGTTCATTAAGTCACACCAGAAGTCTATCTAAACTGCTACTATCTGCTCTGATGAACAGGACTTCTCCAAGCAGAGATTTTACCCAGGCTTCCTATTAGTGGTGCTCTCAGGGAAGGACTTTTGGGCAAATCCAAACAAAGCGGGGGGGGGGTAGCCAAATTTTGAAGTAAGTTTCCATCTCAAGACAGAAGTGGGACCATGCTTTACCTAGTTCAGCCTTTGCCAACCTGGTGCCCTCCAGATGTTTTGGATTGCAACTCGCATCAGTCCCAGCCAGCACTGCCTGAAATTCAACAGTGAGTGGAGCCTGTTTGATCTCAGCTGGGAGGGAGTTCCACAGGACTGAGCCCAGTGTTACTGAATGTACAACTCGTGGTGAATATAACCCATGCATCTACATCTCACTAACAGAGAGTCCTGCAAATCAGGCAAGGCTATAAGAAATCATGAGGTATCCCGGACCTAAGTTGTTATGGGCCTTCTAAATTAATAGTAGCAAATGGGCAGCTAGTGCAAGATTTTAAGGACTGGAGTTATGTGCTGGAGGCAGAGGCGGTTTTAGTGTAGCACAACTGGTTCGGCCGCAATGGGCACCACACAACCGGGGGCGCCACAGCAATGCCATGGATCGGAGTGAGAGAGGCAAGGTGCATTGAATTTTAGCATCGCATGGGACACTGCTGAAATTTGAGTGCTACTTCTGGTGGTGCTCTGTCCCTCCCCCCCACACACACACAACAGTCTAGCCACAGCATTTTGCACTAGCTGAATTTCTAGGCCAGGCCCAAGGGTAGAATAGTAAAGGGTGACCTAACTGTACAACTGTATCCCACCCGAGAACCTGAAATTCAATTGGAAATGCCAGAAATTGAACTTAGGACCTTCTACTTGCAAAGCATGAGCTCTGCCACTGGTCCGCACCAACTCCACATTGTTGCCTCTGTATTTATGCTCAACAAAGGTACCCTCCTAGCCTTGTGATCTGTTCTCTGCCTCCTTTTGCCCTTTGCTTATTTTTTTTGCCAAGACTCCAAACTCAAACACTAATATTGACTAGCCTTCTGGGTCAAAAACAGTAATGTCAGGTCTTGCTACTGACAATCAAGCTGCAACACACGCACGCTCGCAAATACCAGAGGGGGAACAAAACCTGACTTGTGGAATTTTCTCCCACGTACAGTGACTACTGTAGCATATGTCTGACCAGGTGTTGTTGTGTTAATGCTGCATCTCTACTGCTGGTGTTACTACAATACACACCACACAGTGCTATGCCGACGTAATAGATACCACTTCCACTCTGTGCCAGGTGTAGCTGTAGTCATGCCAATATCAGCAGGGACACCACAGAGATTTCAGGCTCAGCTGAGGTCATCAGGAAGAATCAGCTGTTCTGTATGTTTGGAGGTCTTCTGGAAGCCCCTCCAAACATACAGAACAGCTGATTCTTCCTGATGACCTCAGCTGTATGTTTGGAGGCCCTACCATTTAAGCAGAGTGAGCCACCTGAAGCAGTGTTTCAGGGCCAGCCCTATCAATAGGCAGAGGAAGCAAGTTTGGGACTAGGACATGAAACTAAACTGTACATAATCAAGAAAGAAAGCAAAAGCTTTTGATCTCTTCCTTGTGGCCACATCAGAGGAGGAGAGAGGAGGAAGTGGCTAGGTGTGATGTTTGAATGCAGCCAATACTGCTACTCAAATCTGTTATCTTTGTTTACATTCATACACACACACACACACACACACACACACACACCCTCTATAAACAGGTAACAGGTTTCAGGATTGCTCCCTTCCCCAATCTCCAGTGTCCTCTAGAAACCATCTTCTAACAATGTCCTCCCATCAAGACCCATTCCTTCACCATCTTTGGCCATTACAAAACACTGACCAAACACTGGTGTACTGTGCTCAGGCTTTGCTTTTCAGGGGAGCCCATAGCGAGAATCTCACAACCCTGTTAGAGGACAATTTAAGTGCATCTTTAACCAGAACACCCTTCCTGCTTTTAAATGAGTATAAGACAAGCAGAGTATACACTGCAGAGTAAATGAGAGCATTATACAGCAGGTTTATTGAAGAAAAACAATCCTCCAACAATGTATAACAGTGGGAAATAGGGAGTGGCTCAGATACTGACCCTTGGTGCATGAGACCAAAGGGCTACAAGCACAGGGACATCTTCATTTTAACCGGTGAAATACTGGAGGGTGTGGAATAGCACCCACAGTGGCCAAAGTGAAAGATAAATTGAGAACCTACATCTAAGTGTAATTGACTCCCTCATCAAACCATGTAGAGAGTGGCTTGGCTTGCTTACATGAATAAACTGGAGTTAACCAATGCCTGCCTTCTGCTTCCTCGTCCTTGCTAGATTAACCACACAAGTGATCCCAGGCAGGGATCACACCATGAATGGTCCCTACTTGGATAGGCCACTGTGGTGTGGCTTCATGTTGATAACACTGAGGGCAACGTAAAAGAATAGGGGAACTCCCCCCCCAAAAAAAAGTTGCAAAAATATGACTGGGGAAAGGTGATAATTCTCAGCAACACCAATGGGGGGAAAACCTTTGTACTGTTGTCTCAGCTCTAACTAAGCTTCAGTGATATGAAGGTCCTGGAGATGCCCAGGAAAAAAGGATAGCAAAGGGAAACTCTTCCCTTCCCTTCCATTCGTTTCCGCTCTGGAGCGGCCTGATCATCTCCCTTATTAAGATTTAATGTCTGAGCCAGAAGGTGTTTCCTCGTTGCAATAATTTGACCTTTAAGTGCCCAGGTTAATGCTAGAGTATTATTTGCAAACGGAGAACATGAACTGCCTCATTTAAGTACAGCTTTCTCTGGATCCAATTTTTCACCAATGCATTCGTTCCTAATGCTCATAAAAAACAAGGAGAGAGGGAGAGAGAAGGAGACAGGGGCAATGAGGAAGAGAAGGAGATCATGGGTGAGAGAGAGAGAGAAAGGACAATACTTGCATTGTGATTTATAGTCGGGAAGATTGTCTGCAATGGTAGAGCACTCTTTCTTAATCAAAGCTTTATTAAATTCTGGTAATAAAAGGCTAAGTGTTTTTAGATGAGGAAGAGGCATAATAGGGTATAGCATTCTCTTCACGAACATTCATCCTGAGTGTGTGTGGGCTCATATAAGAGGCCTTTCCATCTGACAGATACTCTAAAGGGTAGATACAAACTGTCGCATATCAGTGCTACCAAAACTGTTAGCATTCGGTCATGATGTTCAAGTTCCCCTACCCCTCGCACCCCCTTGGCCATTTCAGATTGGATCAGAAATGAACAGAAGTATCCCCCCCCAAAAAAAAAAAATAATCAGGAAATGCACCGATCCAGATTAACACACCCAAGTCCCATTGGAACTGGTGGGACAAAAGGCAAGGAACCCATGTACAGTGGTACCTCGGGTTACATACGCTTCAGGTTTCAGACTCCGCTAACCCAGAAATAGTACCTTGGGTTAAGAACTTTGCTTCAGGATAAGAACAGAAATTGTACTCTGGCGGTGCAGCAGCAGCAGCTGGAGTCCCCATTAGCTAAAGTGGTGTTTCAGGTCAAGAACAGTTTCAGGTTAAGAACGGACCTCCGGAACAAATTAAGTACTTAACCCGAGGTACCACTGTAGTAGATGGAGCAAGATCCAATTGCAGTTAGAGCCAATGAATTCTAGTTTTGTTCCCAGCCTCCTCCCTGCTGAGTTCTACAAAGGCAACAGACAGACTAAGCTGGAGGAAGCTTGCAACCAGAGACATCCTGTGGACTAGCTGTAAGCAAGAAAACAGGGCGGAGCAGGCAGGGAGGCTGATTGAGGTTGGCTGGGCAGTGCAACGCTTCTCCTAATGGACCAGCCTTCACTGCCAGGTCCTTAAATCCCTCCAACCTCCTCTTATCCGCTGCAATGTGTCCTTGAACTCTCTTAAGGTGCTGCCCCCCACCCAGCCCACATCTGATAGTTAAGTCTTTATTGACAAAGAAGCACACACAGCAGCTCTTGCAGTGCTCCAGATACATAGACACAAACACTTCTAGACTCTAGGCAGCTGTCCTGCCCTGAAAAGCAGTTGCAGCAACAGGGGCACCAAACACATACACCCAGCTTGTGTATCTGACGGGGGGCACACACATGTAACCTGAGGCTCTGCCTACAAGGAAGCAATCACTGCACTTCCCTCTTCAAGCCCTTCCAAGAGACAGGGGGTGGGGGTGGCAGGCAGCCTACTTGCCCATCTCTTCCCTGAACACTCTTCCTCCTCTGCTACATCCAGCATCCCTCCCTCCCTCTCGGACTGCTCTGTCCCTTCCTCATGCTGCTGCCCTGGCTCCTGTCACACAGCAGCTCACCGGGGTCTCTCAGGCAAGGGTCTTCCCCAGTCCTGCCTGGAGATGCCAGAAATCGAATCTGGGACCCTCTCCATGCAAGGCTCTAACCCCAAGCCAAGGGCCCTCCCCTATGGTCACTGCCAGTCAGAGTAGACATCACTGGGATAACAATGGCATGTCTCAGGAGAAGGCAGCTTCACAAACATCAGAGCAGTTAAGATATTAATCTTGCCATTTTAGAAACGGCACCCCGGGGGGCATTTTTCCCTCTTACTGCTTTTTTAAGTTATGCATTTCAAGGCACAGTAAATAAGGTAGGACATGACCTAAATATCACATGCAGCCTCCTCTCTTTTCGCTGTATTAGTCCTCTGTGCCCTGTTTGCAGTTTCAGACAAGCAGTACTGATTAGGATGAAGGAGGAAAGAGGATATATCTTTGGGGAAACAGGAACATTTCTACCTACATAGACAGTGCAGGAAAGGGGAGGGGTGGGGTGGAATTCAGCGAGGAGGTGGAAAAGCTTACTTGATTTCAACAAAGCTGCCAGAGCTTCAACTGCTGCCCTAGGGAAAGAAAAGAAAAAGAAGGGAAATATCATTTTCTTCCATAATTTCTGTAACCTTTGGCTTCATAATCTCTCCTGCGGTTCCCCCAGCTACTGCAAACTGAGCAGAAGAGCTCTGTGGAAAAACCATCACACTTCCATCATCTTGCACCAGCTTGCAAGGCCTTATCCTTTGCGTTTGGCTCAGTTCTACAATTAGCCTTCTAGCCTTGCATTAGCGTTACACTGATCTGTAGTGACCAGTCAGTACAAACAGCTACCTAGTGCGTCGTGAGGAATTAGGCGGAATGCTTTTCTTGACACGACTCCTCCAGATCTCGCTCTCTTTTGCTGTCTAGGAAGCTCCCTGTGATCAAGTCAGACCACTGGGTCCATCTGGCTCAGTGCCAGATACATAGGCCAGCCATTGTTCTCTAGGATTCTGTGCAGGAATCTCTCCTAGCCCTATAACGAAATGCCAGGGGTTCAACCTAAGACCTTCTGCATGCAAAACAGATGCTCTGCCCCTGAGCCGTGCCCCTTCCCCCAATCTCTCAGTGCTGGGAGAAACTGGCTCTGGATTTCAGTGAACTTCCTGGTGCCTAAGCCATGACTGACCACAAAATAGTTCCAGGAAGTACATTCTGGGATTCTAGCCGGGAACTTGTCACTGGTTTTCTAAACCAGTTGCACATCAGCACCGCAAACATAGAGAGATAGAGATAGAGATAGAGATAGAGATAGAGATAGAGATAGAGATAGAGATAGAGATAGAGATAGAGATAGAGATAGAGATAGAGATGTGTCAGGGACTGGGCAGAGGAGGAGTGGTGAGGACCACCTCCCCAGCCTGACCCTTCCAGAGAAGAAGAAGAAGACAGTTCAGAATTACAACAGGGGTTTAAGGGAGATAACAGCTCATGGCAGATGGTGGGGAAAGCTGGGAAATAATGGGAGAGGAGGAAGAATAAGCACCAGAGAAGAAGAAGAGTTTGGATTTGATATCCCGCTTTATCACTACCCGAAGGAGTCTCAAAGCGGCTAACATTCTCCTTTCCCTTCCTCCCCCATAACAAACACTCTGTGAGGTGAGTGGGGCTGAGAGACTTCAAAGAAGTGTGACTGGCCCAAGGTCACCCAGCAGCTGCATGTGGAGGAGCGGGGAAGCGAACCCGGTTCATCAGATTACGAGTCTATCGCTCTTAACCACTATACCACACTGGCCACAGAGGGCGACAGCTGATGGACACAGTGTCTTTAGAAAGCATTCCCCCTCTCCCAGGCATTGAAAGTAGGAGAGCAAAGAACTCAGAGGCAGAGGGAACTTCTCAGCACCCGTAGTGATGACGCATGAAGGGAGAGAGGGAGGGGCTGGAGACTCACTCGGGGCAACGACATTATTTCAAGAGGATGCTTTTCCAAGCCTCTCTCTGTTAATATTGAATAAAAAGCAGTTGGTAAGGACTTTTCCTTGTCTTATGCATTCCTGGCAACGTACCATAGGAGGCTGGATCCTCTGCCACTTGACAATATGCATCTTGTATATCTTGATTTTTACCTTTTTGTTCTATTACTGTTCTTATATTGGGGTTTTAATGTTTCTTTTTATTTTATTTCTGTTATCTTTGGGATAAAAATGCCTCAAGTAAATGTAATAAACACATTAGCATAAGAACTATTATTAATATTGTAAAATATCATTAGTGGTACTGAAAGCTGCTGGGTGGCCCATCAGGATCAAGGCAGCCAAACTGCCCCTGCAAAGCACATCTCACAGAAGAGGTGTTCACACAGTTACAAGTTATGGCAGCTCCTGTGTGCTCCTGTCACTGTGCTTTTTAAGCTGGGTTCACATAGCATTAGCCACAATCCATCTGCATCCTGTAAGTAAGTAAGTCAGTAAGTAAGTTCCTAGCCTCGCATGCTAACCATTTAACCACACAGCTCCACCGTATACATAACATCTATTCCCCCATTGAACTTCAAAGATGGAGGACTGGTACTTCCAGTCAGACGTCATACGGAAAAGTGCCGAAATGCCATTGTTGGGGCAGCTAGCAAAGCAGCTGAAAAGTCAACAAGTTTCTGGAGCATAATGTTGCTGCTTTGTTTCCCGGCTTCTGGGAAGTTCTATGTGTCCACAGCATGCCACATACTGGCATCTTCAAAGCCCCACATGCCCGCTGCGTTGTTTCACCGAAATCACTATATAAACAAAGCCTCCGATAAATCGCATTAGCTTTCTCACCAAGCCAATTATCAAGCTGCAGTTGGAAATAAATATTTTATTGCCATTCAGCTGCCATTTATCGCGTATTCAGCTCGGCAGCCAAGCAGAGGCGAGATTGCGGGGCAGAGAAGCCCACTAGCACCCGCTGTTCCAAGGCTGGCCTTCTTCCTTGTTTACAATGCGATCCCACCCCCCTCCCCTCAAAATGAATCAATTGGAGTCCAGAAAAAGCTTTGCAAACAAGCAACAAATCACCATGTAAAAGCCAGCTGGGCTGATGCTTCAGTGCACTGATTGAAAACTAGGGCAGTGATCAGAGCCGCAGAACAGGAAGAAGAAGGAGAAAAAATTATAATGGCCAGGTGGTTACCGAGTGGTGGCCAGTGAGACACCAGCCAGTTTTGTGTATCAGAATGCCACCTGATGGAATGGGAATGAGCAGGCTGTGCCAGGAACACAGCAGTATTTCTTTGCTGCATCTCCTTCTGTGTGCACCTGTATATCTCTGCACAAATCAGAAGTGATGCATAAATGACAACGGGGTTTTAACAAGGAAGATGGGGAACATCTGCCCTGTGCCGAATCAGACCCACGGTCCATCAAGCTCGGCATTGTCTGCACAGACTGGAAGTGTCTCCCTCTGGTGAAAACCATACATCCTGCAGAAAGGCTAATTCATATTAGGAAGCTGCCTTTCACCCTCTGGCCAGTGGCCCCACCAGCAGTACTGTCTACTCTGCCTGACAGTGGCCCTCCAGGGTTTCACAGGAGTCCTTCTGAGCCCTCCTTAGTCAACTCAAGGATGGCACCTGGGACCTTCTGCGTGCAAAGCAGATGCTTTGCCACAGAGCTTCAATCCTTCACGCTAAGAAGCTGCCAGGAAATCAGACCCTTGGTCCATGTAGCTGATGACACTTACTAGAGGTGGCTCTCCAGGGTTCCAGGCAAGGGTTTCTCCCTGATGAGAGATGCTGGAGGTTGAACCTGGGATCTTCTGCTTGGAAAGTAGATGCTCTGCCACTGAGCTATCTCACTTCCCAGGATGTAAGGAGGGATGACTCTTCCCATTCTCCCTTCTCTCCCCCACCACACCCACAGAAGGATTATGATTGTGATAATCATGGTATGGCCAGTGAAATTCTCAAAGGGATGGTAGATGCAAGCATGCTCACAAGTGAGTCTGGTTGGCCACTGTGGGAAACAGGGTGCTGGGTTGGATGGCCCATTGGCCTCATCCAACAGCTAGGATCTTCTTATGTTCTCTGCCACCTGAATGGAGACCCGGAGAGACTGTGGACCTCTAGTGCCTGAGATGCAAGGTCAGTCTCAGAAGAGCAGGTGTATCCTGCCCATTAAAAAAAAAAAGCCCCATCAATGGGTTGAGGCTGAGTTCATCCTAGGAACATGTGAGCATGGTCCATCTAGCTCAGTTTTGTCAACACTGACTGGCAGTGAAAAAATTCTGCACCCTTGCTTGGGTTCCAAGGCTCCAATCCTTGGTCTCCAGGCTCTGGATCTGACCCTCTAGCAACACTAACACGGGAAAGACCAGTCCTTACTTAGCCCCTGCATTTCATGTATGTTACAGCCTTGTTGGGTTGCCAGACTTCCATGGCTAACCTGAAGTCTCCAGGTTTGCCTCCCTCCCTTCAGATGGCAGGTGGTGGGTTTGAATCTCCAGTTGAGAGATGATGATGATGATATGATTAAAAAAAATTATTAAGCATGCAGCTTGCAAGCTATAGCCCAGTGGGAACACTTAAACCTATCTGGCCGGAAGCAAGTAGGCTAGATTAAGTGTTCCCTGCCCAGGCTCCTGAAACAGATGAGAAGAAATGGTCCCCTCACTTCGGCTGGACCTGAGAACATCCTCTGTAACTAAGCTTTCTATCTTACTTTCCAGTAAGTGATGTGAGGTCTGGGATGCTCCTGACTGTGCAACAGGAGTGATGCAGTAGAGCAGTAAAGCAAGAGGGGGACACTGTGTCATAGATATGGCAAGTTGACAAATTCGCTGCTACATACTGAGAAAATGAGAGCAGGAGATGGGTGGTTTTTGTGAACATGGTCACCTGGTATCATCATAAGGCAAAGCAATGTTCTTTCCTCCAGCATGAGAGGGAGATAATGAGATGAAGAAGGAGAGAGAAGCGAGGATCTGGATAGAGGTGGGGGGCAATAACCAACAGTAAAACTGCATGGGGGGGAGAGAGAGAGAGAGAGAGAGAGAGAGAGAGAGAACTACAGAGAAAGTGAAAAGGCTCCGAAGCTGTGAGCATATGCTGCAGCAGAACTCTTGACATTGTGCCCAGTGGAAAACCTGATAATTGTCTCAAGAAAAGATGGGAAATACACAGACAAAGCTCCATTCCAAAAACCCAGACCTTCGCCAAGGAGATTCTGATGAATCCCTGTGACAAAGAGCCAAGTTTCACTCCACCAAACTCTTTTAAATCTGCCTCAAAGAGAGGGATGGAGGGAAAGAAGATAGATGATAGATTAGATCAGGCTTCCCCAACTTCAGCCCTCCAGATGTTTTGAGACTACAATTCCCATCATCCCTAACTACTGGTCCTGCTAGCTAGGGATCATGGGAGTTGTAGGCCAAAAACATCTGGAGGGTTCAAGGTTGAGGAAGCCTGGATTAGATGATAGATAGATAAATAGATAGATAGATAGATGATAGAGATGATAGATGATAGATGATAGATAGATGATAGATAGATAGATGATGATGATAGATAGATAGATAGATAGATAGATAGATGATAGATAGATAGATAGATA